GGCTTCTCTTACATTCTTAAGAGGGACAGCAATGGAGAAGACCCCATCTTGGTTCAAACCTTTGCCTTGTTTCTCACTATAGAACAACAAATGGTGCCTGGCTTGCACTCCCTATCCTAGATTTTCTTGCTCTGCTGCCTGCTGTCCTGGACTTAACACTAAAAAGGCCATAACTCTGATGCCTCCTCAGCCGGTCATGTGACTGAAATCATGTTTGCTACTTAGAAGGTCCCATGTTGCCTCCTGGGGGTTAAAGGTGGATCCCAGATCGGGAGAGAACATAAGAGAAGAAGAAGAGATTGGATTTATACCCCCGCCCTTCACTACTCAAAGGTGTCGCAGAGCGGCTTACAAACTCCTTTCCCTTCCCCTCCCCACAACAGACACCCTGTGAGGTAGGTGGGGCTGAGAGAGCTCTTGACAGAAACTGCTCTTTTTCAAGAACAGCTCTTATCAGAACTACGGCTTGCCCAAGGTCATCCAGCCAGGTGCAAGTGGAGGAGTGGGGAATCAAACCCGGTTCTCCCAGATTAGAGTCTGCACACTTAACCACTACACTACAACGTTGGATCAGGCCAATGGCCCATCCAGTCCAACACTCTGTGTCACACAGTGGCCAGAAATACCAGGTGCCATCAGGAGGGCCATCTACCAGTGGGGCCAGGACACTAGGAGCCCTCCCACTGTTGCCCCCCTCCCAAGCACCAAGAATACAGAGCATCACTTGCCCCAGACTGAAAGTTCCTCTCTATACCTTGTGGCTAATGGCCACTGATGGACCTCTGCTTCATATACTTATCCAGTTCCCTCTTGAAGCCGTCTGTGCTTGTAGCCGCCACCACCTCCTGTGGCAGTGAACTCCATGTGTTAATCACTCTTTGGGTGAAGGACTTCCTTTTATCCATTCTAATCCGACTGCTCAGCAATTTTATTGAGTGCCCACGAGTCCCTGTATTGTGACTAAAGACAACTGGTCTAAAATTGGTTGCCAATTTCCAGGTGGGGCCTGGGGATCTCCTGCTTTTACAACTGATCTCCAGACAACAGAGACCAGTTTCCCTAGAGAAAATTATTGCTTTGGCGGGTGTGGACTCTATGGCATTGTATCTACTGAAGTCCCCCCCCCAAAAAAAACACCGCCCTCCTCAGGCTACACTCCACCCAAATCCACAGGTATTTCCCCTCCCAGAGTTGGCAACCCTGAAAGTACAGCTATTTAGCTACAAAGTCACTAACCTTTAGGAGCCATTTTTTTGCACCAACTATGAGGGAAAGCAAATATTCCCAATAACTATTTTTGTCCATTTACAAATGTTTATATGGGTAATTTGGCAGTGCTCAAAACCTCATTCTCTTTTGATGTCAAATCAGCACTTGCTTCAAAGCAACATGGCTGCCCACCTAAACCAGCACGAAGTTTCAGGTAAGGTACCTCAAAATGCTGGCATCAGTGAAATGCTGAATACAGCTATCACAAGGAGTAATAACAGTATTAAAAAAGGAATCATAACAATATTAAAGAAATAATAACAATATTAAACCTGTTTTAACTAGAGACGGGAGCTCACTCCGTCATGCAACACACTCGGGTCTCGAACTGCTGAACTACTGACCTTCCACAGCCTGCAGTTCAGTGTCTTAACCACTTGAGCCACCGCAGCTTCTAAGTTTCAGGTAACAAACCTCAAAATGCTGGCTTCAGTGAAATGCTGAATACAGCTATCACAAGGAGTAATAACAATATTAAAAAAGGAATAACAACAATATTAAAGGAATAATAATATTAAACCTGTTTTAACTTGCTGTTCCCCACTTACAGAGAAGGAACGGGTTTAACTTGACCTCACCTTGTCCCTGAGGGACTAAATTATTCCACTGGGGGAGGGGATATCCCTAGACCAGGGGTGTTGAGTGTTGAACTCATTTGTTAGGAGGGCCAGATCTGAAATAAATGAGACCTTGTTGGGCTGGGCCATGTGTGTGTCATAAAATGTAATGCCAGGTAGCGGAGATATAAACTTTATAAAGGATACAAACACAAAGGATTTTTTAACTTAAAATAAAAACATGCTTAAAACATTAGCACTCTTGCAGTATTTTGTTTATTTAACAGTGTCTGATAACTGACACCTCTTGCTCTGAATTATTGCATCAAAATGCCTGTGCTGTTGCAATCCTGAGTATGCTGTTCAGGTGTGTATCTGTAAGATGCAAACCTACAATGACACAGCAGCAGCAAAACTGGAAGAAGAAGCAGAAGACAGCCAGTTCCACTTTGGCCCTGATAGAAGCCCTCCAGGGGCCTGATCTGGCCCCCGGGCCACATGTTTGACACCCCTGCCCTAGAGTAAAATTTATTAAAAATATGGCCCTCCCAACAATGAGTGGGGTGGCTATTTTTTAAATTATGAAGCTCTCATACTTGGAGAATAACTGTCCTTTGCTCTGAGGATCTTCTGTAAGCCTTCCTAGGGAGATCTGCAGATGAGAAATTGCATAAATTTAAGTACTTGACTTAAACGCCTCTGTGCAAAACACAATGGAGGTCCAAAATAAATTAGACCAAATAAAATAGATCTATTTCCCAGAAACATTTTTCTGTTCATCTGTAGTATTATATTTTCACTCACATAAGGTTTGTTTGGCTCTGAGTGTCTCTGTGCCCCCCCCCTTCACAGAATTCAGCAAAGATAAAATGTATTGTTGTACCATTTATTTGAGACAGATTACAGTGATACAGAAGACAGAGAAAGCATGGACTATTATTGTGGATATAAGTTAGAGGCCCCAGAGAAGACAGGTGTTGCATGGACACACAGCCACTCACAGGCCAGCGTTTGCAAGAATTGTGGGTTCGCGGGAAGGTTTTGTCATAAGTAAAAATCTCAGCTGCATAAATACAGGTAAGTTTCACAGTTTTGAACAAAAAGTCTATGTTACAAGTTTACATTTTAAAATTACTACACTGGACTCGGAATGGCTTATTAAAGCAGCAATGCCCCCCCCCCCGACCAGAAAGTACAATCAGATTGTGAAGAGTACAAAGGAGTAAAAAATAGAAAGAAAAAAGGACAAACGGATCACAAAATTATACAGCCTGTGAGAACAACGTTCGAGGTTTCCGTAATGTGGGTTCAATGATGCTCTCCGACTCTTCAAGTCACAGATCATAATTTGTTTGTTTTTTAAAAAAAAATTAAAACATGGTCAGAAACACACTGCAGACAAGTGATGGGAAGGGGAAAAGAGAAATAAAAACACGCACAAAACGCAGGCAGACACCGTGCGGCTGCTTTTATCTATTAAATACAGCAGGACTTAGCGAGGGGTTTTGGTTTCTCATAGGATCCCGAAGGGCTGCACAGGCCGCCTTTTGTACAGAGTTTCAGTCTGATTAGTTCTCTTCCCTAGATCAGCCAACGGTGATATCGTTCAGTTGCGCCAGCGTTCCTCATCTGTACAAGCAGCTCATTGTGTCCCCTTGGGTTGTCACATGGTCATGTGCTCCGGCAGGACGTAGGAGATGTCATCCCAGGGGTGACGGTATAAGCCCTGCTTCAGCCTCTTCTGATCTAGGTAATGTCCTGGAAATGAAGAGCCGTTCATGAGTACTTCTCAACTGGCCCTACAAAACCACACACTGTTTGCTGCGGCTGAGGAGCCAAGCAGCAGAAACCGACACCCACTCATTCTACCAAACCCAGTTGCTTAAGCTAAGGAGCCAAGATGCCAACACGGAACAAAACGTGAAGACCAAATTCAACTCTGTCCCTGGTGTGGCAGCGGGACTTGACACAGGGTTGCCCCAGTGGTTCCCCTCCCCCGCCCTAACCCCCTTTTCTGCCCAGGGCCTTCTTGTCTCAAAGGAATTGCTGGGATAACTCCAGTTTTCAAGACAGAACTTGGTGTGGGCCAGCTAAAACAGATCGAAGTATTGCATTTATGTAAAGTTGTTTTATGGACTGATGTTTTATCCATGTTGGTTTTATTAATGCTGTGAGCCGCCTTGAGCCGCTTCGGCGGAAGGGCAGGATAAAAGTTGAATAAATTAAATAAATAAATAATAATAAGAAGAGATTGGATTTATACCCTGCCCTTCCCTACCCAGAGGAGTCTCAGAGCGGCTTACAAACTCCTTTCCCTCCCCCTCCCCGCAACAGACTCCCTGTGAGGTAGGTGGGGCTGAGAGAGCTCTTGACAGAAACTCCTCTTTTTTCAAGGACAGCTGTGCCAGAACCATGGCTTGCCCGAGGTCATCCAGCAGCTGCAAGTG